CTTGGTACTTTTGAACGGGTTTGCAAGCAACCCGAACACTCCCGGAGTAGAGAAGCTGACCATGACATCAGCTCAAAAAGCTTGGCTCCAGTCACCACCGACCAACTACAGGATGCGTGAAGACTTGGGAATGGTTGAGAGTGTGAACCTGGTCCCCCCACAGGCCTGTTTCGCTGTCAAGGGGTGGAACAGAAGCCTCGCTCTTCTCGGGGTGTGCTACTGTGCTTTCCAGACTCCAGCTCTCCTGGAGGCCAGGCCTCGTCGTTGTTCGTGGATCTTCAAGATCATCCATCGACCTTAAAAAGAAAGCAAAAATCAACAAACCAAGACTAAACATGTTGACGTATGTTTACTATTCTGCTTGCGAGGCCATGCCGGCCCATGTGAAGAGGAGACCACCTGATTTCAAATGCAACAAAAAATGAAATTCAAGTGGGCGTATGTGAGAGTTCAGATCTATGTTCAAGGAGTTTCAGCACCATCTACGCGAATAGCGTTGAGCCGGATATCACACGTGTGGTCAACACCAATCGTGGTCAGGGTCTGAGCATGTCTTAGAGTGCTGAATTCGCTTTCACTGAACACGCTAGAAGACCTTGCTTTTTTTTGGCTGTCTTTCTCAACATGTGTTGCGGTGCGTTGGTGACGCACCAAGATTCCTTTTGAGTGGCAGGAGTGACCATGTCAACGGTGGGTGTGCGGCGGAGGCCAAATGCCTTCAACATCGTATGGCAACTTGAACTCTTGGTTCGGAGTGGAGTGAGTGAGCAGAACGCCATCACTTCCTTGGAGGCCATGGCCTCTATACTGAACCTAATGAATAGTCAGAAACACAACTTGTGCCAAAGAACAAATCTTGTCAATCGCAAATCTTTTGGTGTTCAAATGTGTGTTGCTTGGTCAGACCTATGAGACTGCTGCCCAAGTGGCCAGCGTGTACTCGCTGGGCAAGATGGAGAGCGCCGCGGCTGTGGCACTCCTGCACAAAGTGCCGAAGCCAATCAAGGAAGCAGTGACCAACATGGTGAGGCCGGGAGTTTATGAGGGATGTCCAACATATTTTGGAAAATCTATTCTTGGGCTTGTTATATGGCTTGTTGCCAGGCAGTATGGGATGCCTCGCTTCATAACGCACGAGGCCATTGCGAATGGCCTCCTGAGTGACAAGTACTGTTCGGCCACAGGCACACTGGGAAATTGGAAAATGGAGCTGACAAACTCTGAGGCATTGCTTCAACTCTTAGTCAATAGAATGGAGACTGATTGGCTTGCGACACCTCCGAAGCAGCGTCGACCATGGCATGTGAAGGAACTCGACACTTTGTTCTAACTTGGAAACATGTGAATGGTGATGCTTTCAAATTCAACAGACCTGAATTGATCAATGAACCCTATCACCGACATTGCGCTGCTGCCCAGGAATTGTTGCAAAGGAACTGCGGAGGATTTTTGGCCTGCCTCGATGCTTTCCAGAAAGCAGTTCCCAAGGACTTCGCCGACAAATGCCTTCTGGAGATTCACAAATCGTTTCTTGGTAAATAGTTTGCTGGTACTTGCAGTCCCTTGCATTCATGTCCCATTAGACTGACCAGTTACACAGCAGTTGCAACGCAAAGCCCTATAAGGTTTGACCTCCGACACGGAGACGGAGATATCGGCTTGATGTTGGAATCTTCAGTACCTCCACCGGACCTGCTGAAGATCAGCATCTTCAGCCATCACCTACAGAAGTTCTCTATGGAGGCTTTTTGTTTTCATTTAGCTTGGCTGCAAACACATCGAACAAACCTGCGAGCGAGTTCAATCTCCTCGGCAGGCTGAGAAGCAGAACCGGGATCGAGCCGCCAAGACCTTTGGCAGCAATGAAACACAGCGGGAAGTAGCAACAACTTCGCAACAGAAGCGTTGGAAGAAACATGAAGAAACACACTTAAGCTTACTTGGAATTCTGCGGCTTCAAAACGTGAGGCTGTCGCAGCAGCTCTTGCAAACAACCATGGAACAGCTGAAGCTTACCATAGAAGGTGACTTGATGAAACTTCGGCAATGGATGGGGCGCTGGGATGTGTTCGCATCTCAGCAGGTGGGGGGGCTCGATGGTTCTAAAGAACAAAGTTTGCTGTGGCTTGTTGTTTGGATATGTTTGGGCAGTTTGATGTTTCAGGGGATGCTCGATGTAAAGTACATGGAGGACCGTTATTTGAGGGGCAAGACTTTTTGCAATGAATTCTTGGAGAGCCGCCACAAGCTTTTATGCCTTAACCAGCTGAATCTGGGGCACGCGGCCATAGTCTCCATGCAGTCGGAGATGGGGCCTGACACGTTTCTGAGCTGAAATCGGCCAAGAAACGGTAACAATGATTCGAAGTTGGAAGCGTTACCAAATATGTACATCTGTATAATATATATAAATATGTATGTGTGTCTCTCAGGGTCACCATCATCGTGATGGATTGCACCTTGTGGCCTTCGCGTGCTTTGGAAGAAACATGCGTAACGAATCGAAATAGATTGATGATTATTTTCAAAACCAATGAACAAACACATGTTTCTAACAAACACCACTCTCTAACAAAGAAGTTGTTGAGGCCACCTGTTGATCGACGAGGCCATCTCTTTGAGCCATGCGATTTCTTCAGGGAACACCAACACATTATGCTTCGCATGTCTCCCTCAAATTCACTCTTCAACCACCACGGCAACGGTGATGAAGAACCGGCGACTTTTGGAGGACAAACTTCTGGCGTGCATGGGCAGCAAGACAGTAAGAGTCTAGAAGGAAGAGGGTTGAGAAAAATGCTTTCGAGTGAATGTTCAATAACTGTGCTTGCACGCTTGCCGCGTACCCTAAGTGTGATGAACTCCTATGAAGTTTCCTTGAACTATGCGCCGGCAGAGCACGGGGGTGATCGCCGCAAGACCTCCCAGCAATGCCCTTCATTCGCATTGAGCCGTGATGTGTGCATGATGTGCGCAAACAGGAAAACCGTTATTTTTATCTACAGTACTTGCGCAGCGTCGAAGGTTTGGATTCCAAACGGCAGGCATCGCTTCAATGGCTGGAACAAGTCCCACATGGCAGAGGAGTCGGTCATTATTGGGATCCCTGAATGGGATCCCCAGAAGCCGGGTTCAAGACCTTCAGAACCCCGATCCTGATCACCCTCTTGCACCTCACTGGCGGGTCCCTTTCATGAAGTGTTTTTGCAATTTCTTGCGTGAACAATTAATGTGTATCATATTGGGGGACTAGTGATGGCTTCCCCAATGCTTATGGCAACACTGGCAGGTCCAACAGCGCGGGATCAAAGCGACCACCCAGATCATTGCTGGCCTCCTGGAGGGGGTCGTCACCACCCCCAAGCAGCCGGTATTGATCGTAGACCTTTTGCCAACGAGGTGCGAGTGAGAAAACTTTCTCTTGTTTGTGATTGAGGCATTGTAATTGAGGGACTGTTAGAATTTCTACCAACACATAACAATAACAAAATCTGACCACCTGTCAGATTTGCCGAGTGGGGCCGGGCCGCCTGGAACCTACAAAAGCGGCTGCTCAACGATGAGGATCTATTGGAGAACCATCCCGAGATCAGGTTTGCAGCTTTGTATCACGCAGACAACGCTGCTGACCACACCAACTGCAAGGAGGCAGTAACCGGTCTCATCATGAGTGAGCACTGGGATTGTTCGGACCAAGCAGGTTCAAAGTCGAGGGGCCGCGCTGCATTTGGGGAGCCCTTACCGAGCCTGGAAACTTTGGCTGTGGTGGATGGAGAAGTGAAGACCCTCAACAATCAATTAGTTGTTCATCAATCAGTTTTTTTTACTGTTCATGGATGGCCCTAAAAGATTTAAGAACAGTCCAGGGATCAAAAACGCCCTCCATCAGCGCCCAACTCAGGATTCCGGATATGGTGCAGCAAAAGCTGACCGGACAACAGGAGTTCTTGAAGCGGTGCTTGGATGACATAGCTGCGGACACCAAGTTTACGACATCCCTGAAGAGTTGGCATGCATCATCAGCTACACCTACAGCTACAACCTCGTTGGCCCCTTCAGGCCCTCCCGCTGAGCGGCCTCCTCGAACTCTGGGTACGCCTGAGTGGGGCAGCGATGGACCCTGGAACTTTCGTCGGGCAATCAATGGTTTGGAGTCGATGCCGGCTGTTGACTTTGAGCCACTGAACCCGCCGCTTCGAAACAAATATGAAAAAGCTTTACTTTGTGGCAAGGTAGTTTTGTCAATATACCCTGTCATCTGAAGTGTTCAAATACCACAAAAAACCATTGTCCATGCCAGGTTGGCTGGCATGGCAGCAGTTGCTGGCAAGGCAGACCTTTTCGTGGTTGTGACCAGGACCAACCAGATCTGGCTCATCAACAGGGCCGATACGGATTGCGAGCTGTCGGCGATGGAACTGTTTGGATTCAACACAGGATCGTATTTGGAGGTGCCTGCAGGCCGGCGTAACAAGCGAATTAAACTTTCTGGCAATGCTTCAACCCTATAATCAAATTGGCTATGTACAAAAACAGGTTTTTCACATCGGATCGTCGAACAGGAAGTGGAGATGTCCTGGCATCTTCGCTCTCTTGGAACCTCTCCAAGGACAGCGCGCTGATCGCAATGACAGGCACGAAGGAAATCACCACGGTGGCAGACCTTGTTTGCAAAGTTGCCAGCGATCGAGGGATCATGGAAGTTAGAGTGGTTGACCATACCCTCGAACCCATGCACAAGGTGGGGAATGATTTATGACATCATTTCGTCGCAGTGGTTCATGCGTGTTCATGCACTTGTTCATGCATACTCCAACGACGCCCAAATACAGCTAAGCTCCCAGTCTTGCCATGAAACCATATGTCCCAGTGACTTGGCCAAAAAAACCCGAAAGGTGGACAGCGCTGGCCTTCAGCAACCTCTCCAGTACAGGTACCAAGTGAAGGCTTCGGCTCAAGTTAACAGTTTCCGGCCAAAGGAGATTGGTACAGAGGACAAGATGAACCTTCGCCCACAAATGCTGGGGGCTGTCTTCCACAACCATTACACTGACATCCCTCGCGCATCGCATTGCGGAATCATTTGGGAGGCTGAGTCTGGGATGAACAATTATCAACAGTTGGCAGGAATGTTCCTATTTTTAACAATTGTGAATTAAGACTTGGCCCCTTGCAGGTTCGTGTGGGAGATGATGTTCCTGTGACGGTGACCCCTGTAAAGCCCAAGTACTATCTTCTTGGCACCCTGACTGTGAAGCAAAGGCATGCAGTCAAGCTGTGCTAGGAAACCTGTTTATTTGAATAGATTGCGTTCTGAAGCTTTGCGGGTGAATGGCGAGGTAGCCAACTAGAAAAATTATGAAACATTATATTGAAGCAGAATGGTCAAATCAAGATATATTATATGCACTCAATTTGGATGTTGCCCTTGCCATTCTTGAGTTTTGGTGGCTTCGATTTGAAAGCACTCACTTGACATTGAGTGTCGTCATCTAAAGGGAGCACCGCTCGTGGAAACAGTTTGAGCTGAGGGCCCTAGCATCCAGGTCCTTTCGGAACTTCACCTGTGAGCAGTTGCGCTTGGTTCAGGGACACAAACTAACAGTGTGGTTTTGGCTCAGGGTTGCGTTTTCCGGCGCCTTTCATGAGTGAAGGTTTTTTGAATTTTGTTGGCACCATGCCCCTAGCTGCGGTAGACGAGCTTTCGGATGACAATGGTGGTGGTCCGCTGAAAGAGGATGCGCCAAAGCTACCGCTACCAAAGCCAAAAGTTGCACCTAAGGAAAAGGCCAAGACTTTGCCAAAACCTAAGGTGGTTAAGGGTTTGGTGGCAGGCGCCTCGACGGAGGTCAAAGCCAAGGAACCGCTGAAGCCGAAACCGAAGCCGAAGGTTTTGAAACGACCGAGTGCACTCAGAAAGCCGGTGGGCAAATGCTTCTACAAGAATTATGACATGTATGGCTACAAGAAGGATGGGAAGCAAATCATGACGGTGCCTTGGCTTTCATTCATTGGAATCCCACACCATAAAACATGTGTTCCCACTCTTCTTCAGGTGCTCCAAACAACACGTGTTTCCACACAATCACTCTGTGAACTGAGTTCAAGCGAGTGCCTGGCCTCAGCGATGACACCATTGAGGAGATCAGCGATCCATGGCTGCAAAAGCTACACCAGTGGAAGGGGCACATAGAGAGTTTTGAACTGTGGGTGTGGAACCTCAGGAAGCTATCAGGGATGCACTGAAAGATGGGAGTGTGACGTCTGCTACGAGCTTGAAGGACCCTTCAACACATGTCCGAGCATCTTCTGCTTTACAAGAGGGTTGGAATGTTGATCCCATGTTGATATTCTATCACCTGATTGCATTGCAGGATTCAATGGTGGCAGCAGCCTTGGCAAAGGCCCGGTCGGAGAACCCTGACACCGCCGAACCCTTGGACGCTTTGGGCATGGAGGGTGAGGAGGAAGAAGCTGTGGAGGATGAGAACGTTGAGGAGCAATTCGTCTGAAACAACAATGCAAGTTTGAGTTGCCTACACAGGTGTTAGTAGAACGAGGTGAGATGAGGTGAGTCTTGTTCAAATGGATGTCTTATCTCAGGTGAACTTCTTCGGACCCTGAGCGCCCTGGATCTAGCGGGCCCTGCCGTGAGAGCGCTTCGGTCGACCAAGGCATGAAACACCCCACACACCACACCATGAAACCTGTTCTTCCACAAGTGTTTTCCATGTGTTCAACCTTTTTCCCACAAAACAAGTGTTCGTTGTGAGCGGGGTCAGAACAATGGCCTTGGAATGCCTGTGGCGCTTTGCTTGTTTGGCAACCTTTGCCACTGACATTGGTTGTGTTTTTTGGACCAAACGATGAGCCAAACAGCAAAACAGTTTGCGGCAAGCTGAAACGCTCCAAACTGTCTTGGAAAGCTGTTTGCACAGTGGTTCGGGTCGAAGAGTTCAAACCGGCTTTGCATCGATCGTTCAAAGGCCCAAACCAAATCGTAGTTCAAGACCTTGTGCACCCAAGATCCGCTATGAGTGCCCCAACTGAAACTAGTGAGACCAGCGTCCGGGAGGTTATGGGCAACTTGTCTCAAACATCAGTTCATGTCTTGGTGAACTTCCTTCTTTTGGTTTCCCACGAGTCTATCATTTAAGTTTAGGAATTGAATGGCCAATGGAGATCCTCCCGGCATCGAAGTACACCTACTCGATCGGCATTGGTGGTGAGAAGAACCCCGTTTCTGAAGCGGATGAGGAAATTCAAGCATTGGCCAAGTGGTTGTACGCTTCCAATGTGCTGAAAACAGCGGACAAGGATGTGATTGTGAGAGAAGAACTTTGCTTCATTGTGCGCAAAGATGAACTATGTTCAAAACCATGGTTCGCCCGTGTCCACTGCTTCGATGTCCGAGCACAAGAAGACATCGTTGTCTGTTTTGAGCTGGCGCAGCGATAAGTTTGGAGAAAATGAATCGTTTTTTTTGTGCAGAGTGTGTGTGTGTCTTGGGGCACTGGCACTTCAAAACTAACAACTAAGCCTGAAAGTTCACACTTGAAAACAGTTTTGGCAGTGAAGGAGGGAAGGCCCACAAAGGTTGATGAAGCGTGTACATGAAGACTATTTTCAATTTCTTCGTTGCTCCATTGCTCTCTGCGCAAAGTAGCTTCTTCAACCCCTGGAGCTCATACATCATACTCATGATGCATGGCCCAAAGCCAAAGCCCTAGATACAAAGCAAAGCCCCAAACAAGAGGAACACCGAATGAGTGTGATTTGTCCAGTGCCCGCGCAACCTTCTGCGGAGATCGTGCGTGTCGAGCGCGCGAAATGCAGGCGAGAGTGCGATTGCTCCGGTACCCGCGCGACCCTCTGCGGAGATCGTCGTGCGTGTCGAGTGCGCGAAATGCAGGCGACAGGGCGATGAGTCCCATGCGCGCGCGTATCTGGGGAGCTGGAAGATGAGAACTGGCGACTTGCTAGTAGAGCTGTAGTACGCGGAGTAGCTGGAGAGCTGGAAGATGAGAACTGGTGACTTGCTAGTAGAACTTTAGTACGCGGAGTATATGGGGAGCTGGAAGATGAGAACTGGTGGCTTTGTAGTAGACTTTAGTGCGCGGAGTAGCTGGGGAGCTGGAAGATGAGAACTGGCG